GAAGTCCTGTCCCAACCTGACAACAGTAGAAACTTGGTAATCATAGAATTATAGAAAATGAGGGTTGGAAGGGGCCCCAGGAGGTCATTTAGTCCAAACCCCTGCTCAAAGCAGGACTGTTCCCAACTATATCACCCCAGCTAAAGCACTGTCTACCTAGGTCTTAAAAACCTCCAAGGATAGAGATTTGACCAGTTCTCTGGGTGACCTGTTGCAGTGCTTTACTACTTCCCTAGTGAGAAAGTTCTTCCTAATATCTAACCTAAACTTCTCTTGCTGCAACTTGAGACCGTTGTTCCTTGCTGCAACTTGAGACCATTGTTCCTTGTTGTCATCTGCCACCACTGAGAATAGTTTAGCTCCATCTTCTTTGCAACCCCCTTTCAGGCAGTTGAAAGCTGCTATTAAATCCCCCGAGTCTTCTCTTCTCCAGACTAAATAAGCCCAGTTCCCTCCATTTCTCCTCATAATAAGTCATGTGCCGCAGCCCCCTAGTAATTTTCACTGCTCTCTGCTGGACTCTCTCTAATTTTTCTGCATCCTTTCTGTAGTGGGGGGTTCAAAACTGGACACAGTACTCCAGAGGTACCCTCACCAGTGCTGAATAAAGGGAAATAACACTTCCCTTGACCTGCTGCAATGCTTCTACTAATGATGTAATGAGAGAGGCCACAGAACAATATGCACTTAACCCCACTGAGGCCCCTCTACACATTCAGGTAAAAGCATGACTGGATTTAATAAGTGATCCACACAGTTACACCTCCTGCCATACATGCACAAGGCAGGAGGTGTGACTGTGGGATCATGCATTAGATCCAATTGTGCCTTATTGTTGGCACACAGCAGGCTTCCACAGCTTTGCTGAGAGGGCTCCCAGCCATGGGGGCCATGTGGAGCTGGGACCTAGAGCTCCACACCTCACAGGGCTCCCAGTCCCTGCTGCACCTCACATGCAGCCAGGACCAAGAGTCCCTCAATTAATGCTTGCTTCTGGTCCCATGAAGTGCAGCTGGGGCTGAGAGCCTTGTGTGGGCCTGGGGATTTCACACACTCCCAACCCTTGGGGATCAGGCACAATCCCCAGGGCTCAGGGGTTTCATGTTGGGAAAGGTACATCCTGTGGCTGGGAGCTCTGTCAGCTGACAGGACTCTCAGCCACAGGGAAGATCCTGCTACCCATGCAAATTAAAGCTCAACAGCAATCAGTTAGAAAGTTAGTACACCTTTTTGAGGTGTCACTTTACAGCTGGTTGGAGCTTTTTATTGTGATAGCTGCTTTGTGTGTGTAACAGATCTTAACACTTCTATAACAGGTAGAGGGGGCGTGACATTCAACAGGAAGTCCTGTTTTCAGACTATTAATTTTGCAATGCAAAATGTTTGGGCTGAATTATCTGCGTCAGTCTATTTTTTGGAAAACATCTGCTACTGTAGTTCAGATGTTTCAAACAAACACAAAACTTACAGCTGTGTTTTTAAGATGCTCTAGTTCGTCCATTCTTTGGAAGGGGGATTTGATATTTGGTAGGAGTAGTCAAGAGGAGAGGGGGGGGGAAAAATCATGCAAATTCAATGAGAGTGTTTGTGAAATCTTAGATAGAGCCCTGCATGCATATAGGTTACAATCCTTAGTCACATGATCAAATGCTATTTACCGCTCTCTCCCTGAAGAGGGATTAATGACAATAAAAGTTTTCAATGCTTTTTTTTATTGTCACCATTTAGTGTGTGACCCCTGGCATCGTGTATAGCACACCACCAAAGCCTGCCCTCAGCCTAGAGCAGTGGTTCTCAACCTTTTTTAGACTCAAGATATCCCTTCTCAAGGCACCCTTTGGGAAATGCTAGCTCTTAAAATTTCCACTTGTTGGGAGGGCTCTTTCTGAGGTCTTTGCAACAAGAAAAAACACTGCTCTGTAGGCAAATAAATAAATAAATGTAAGAACAAACAAATAATAAATACATCAAAAAATTAAAAACAAACTAAAGAATCAACTAGAAAAATAAAGTAAGAACATAAAAACAATAAAACAAGTATGAAAAGAAACACATTTTTTAAATATTATACAATAAGAAGTATACCAACACAACCGCCCCCCAGCACCCCTAAAACCAACCCCCTCAAAAAAAACCCAAAACCAAACAGGAACAAAACAAGGAAAAAACCCCAAAGAAGAAGCCAAGCCCCCCCCCCAAGAAAACACAAACGCAAAAACACACAAAAACTAAGAAATAAAATAGAAACAGGAAAACAACAATACACCCGTGCCAGTAAAACGTAAGAGCCAAACACGAAATCCAATAAAAACAGCCGGAAAAGGTTCAAAGTCAAGAATTAAGGAGTGACAAGTAGACAACAAGACAGACACAGACCGCCGCCCCGCAGGCAGCCCGGGAGCGCGGGCGCCCAGAGCCGCCGCAACGGCCCCCCTGCCCGGCCCGGCCCTCACCCACAGCGCGTCGCCCGGCTGCGACTC